ATTTTGTTGAGGAGGAGTAGACTCAGTTTTTGCTTTTCCTTGAAATCTCTGTTAACTTTTGTTTTTCATGTATTTATTTTTTGGAGTAATTGGATGGGGTTAGGAAAAGATTGCGGTTTTGCCATATGGGGTAACACAAAAGCAAACTACAGCCACTATACACATTACAAAAAGATAGGGTAGTTAATAAGGTTGGACATCTGGAGCACATAGACTCTTTATTTTCAAGCTGAAAAACATTGAAATTTATGGATCTGGTAAGATTTAAATGACAGCATCGAGGAGTATGTGCTTAGCAATCTGTGGGGTGAGGATCTGAAAATATGCACAACATAAATCATTTATAACATATAAAGCAGGGTGTTAAATATTTATATGGTTGTACTGCACAATAAACACTGATACTTGTATATAATGACATATTTTAAAAAGCAATACCTCTGAAGAGGTGTAGTTAAATAATTACACCAGTACGTGTATATGAAATGGTCAGCATTTTTTCCCCGTGTGGATATGATGGCTTTCACTGATTTGTTTCTTTTCATTTTTGTTTGCACTCGTTCGTTATATGTTTGAAATAAAGATTTGATCAAGTGTTTATTCTGCTCCACTCCCCCCACGGGAAAATCCCCTGACAAATTGGATCACCAGCATGTGGTCCCACATAGATGCGCTTGTCTCTGAGTAGTTTGTGAACTCTGACCGTTATTTTCTTGGTCAGCGTGTTTTACGAGAGTATTTTTGCCTGATTTGTGCAGGGAGCTGACGCAGTCCTCCGCCGCCACCTGTCACTCGCCAAGGTTATGGTAATATAATGGCAACAAGAGAGATTCGTATTTCACGGCTCACCGGGTTAGATCCGTACCTAACGGATGCAATCAAGCGTGGGCAGAGGTTTGGTCACCGGAGAGAAGTTTGGTCGCTGGACCGCAAAGAATAAAAACAAACTGTTTTGCTCACTAGGTTCACCTTTGACCTAATGTGGGCTGAATGTGTCAATTTGAAAGCTCTGACCTGGTCAAGCTTTCCAGGCTTTAGGATGATAATTTTCCCCAGCTCGACATTTGATAGAAGTCAGCAGCGCTTACAGTTCTCTAATCCTGGCAGGACATCCAGGTTAGATCATTACAGTTTGAAACTTGTTTGAATTTTCCAACTTTAAGACCTCGCAAACATTTCAAACTGGGACACTCCCTCTGGAGCATCACTACATTCCTGCACTACCGTCAGTTTTCCGGTTATTGCACAGTCGTGCGTTAAAGGCTCTCCTCCAGGTGTGCAGGTCGAGAGGTCGAAAGTGAAAAATGTAATCTGGCTCTTTAATCACTTGAGAAAGCACCTGCTAGGCTCTCTGACTTATCCTTGAAACGAGGATGTTATCGCGGAGCTTGAATATCTTAGCAGGAGCAGAATATTTGTGTCAAATACCTGAAACTTGCCTTAGTTTCTTTTACCACGCTCTCCTGCGTCTTGATAAGAGTCCACCCCCCCACCCCCACCCTTTCTCAGCCAAAGAGCAGCTTCCTTCTATTCAGTCAGGTGTATGCATATTGCTCTCTTCTCCCTGCTTCTCTGTTCCCAGCATTGTAATTATCTCAAACACTTGATAAAACCCTCAGGCTCTCTCTTTCTTCCTCTCTCAATCTCGCTTTATTGCCTTCATTATAATGCACTTAATCAACCCTTGGTGCTTTCCTCACGTTGGTTTCTGACCTATCCGTCACTTTCTCACGTTTTTTTCACCCCTGCCATCTCTTGCTTTCTGTCCTCTGCCCCCCCACCCCCACGCGCTCCATTCCTCAGGCAAAAATATATTTTCCAAGTGATGAATTTGTTAGGAACAGGTGAAATAGCAAAATTCTCGATCTTTTCTTCACCTTTCTCCGTCTCTTTTATGCCGTACCTAGTTTAACTCCAAGCCTGTTTACTTCCTCCACCTCCAGTCTTTGCTCCCTCGCCAGGCTCCGCTTTCATCTCAGGTGGTTGCACGTTTAATCTCGCGCACTTCATGCTTGTGTACACCTGCCAACCAACCGGTACGCACTTTGATGCATTCGCTATGTGTGCTAAAAGGTGTAACCAGTTTCCGGGGATGCTGAAGGTTTTCAGCCGTGGCTTAACATCTTTCTCCACCTCAGTCAAAAAACACAAAAAGTCTGTTTTTTACTGCTGGAGCAGGAATCTGCAACCTCTCCATGTTTAAAAAAAGGTATAAAGACTCCTACATTCATTATTATTATTAATGTTCGTCTGCAAACTAATGAATGTCTGTTTTGTAATTTCCAACACCGTTAAGATAATGTTACAGTATTCCACTGACCCCGTTCTTTCTTTAATTGTCTTCCATTATTAGATACACATATTCCAGCTCATTAATTCATATTAGGCTCCGCACAGCAGGTGTCCAGCTGTGCGAGGATGTGAACAATCTTCTGTTTAGGCTTTTTTAATATTAAAAGCCCTGAAAGGAGGAGAACATTAAATCAACTTTAGCTGGAATTTCAGATGAAACGGCTTTTCTGTGAGGATCAGAGACTTTTTGCGGGGGGATTTTCGGTTGGTCTTGCAGCTGTAGAACTGCAGCTGTTTTGGGAATGTTGTAGTGTGGATTTTTAGTGTGTGTTTAATTTGGATGCTTTTTTTCCCCCATTTTCCAGGATGGTCGAGTACTCTCTGGACCTGCAGAACGTCAACTTCACGGCCATCAGAACAGTGAGGGTGCTGCGGCCACTCAAAGCAATTAACAGGGTGCCAAGTAAGTTGAGTCCAATAGACTGTGAAC